TGTAATTACCACGTTTGGTAGAAGGAATAAATTACGATTCCCGGATATCCAAGGATTACCGGTAATTTGATTTATAAAGAAAAGTCACTATTCAGATTACCAAAAATAATATGGTAATTCGGAATACCAATCAGAATACCAAGTAAAGGGAAAGCACAACAATAAATTCTGAGACAAAAATACCCCAATACACATAAAAATCTAGACTCAATCTATCAATTACAAAAGTAAAAATAGTTTGGGGTTATTTTTGTAAAATAACCTCATATTCCAAGTCATATTTCGTTCTAAACCAAATATGGAATCAGTAATTTTTACCCAGTATTCCCGGTAATATTTTGACGAACCAAACACATCTTTCGTAAGATTCCAAGTAAACTCAATTTCTACTGAATTCTCATTAATCATGATTCCCGGTCACCAAAAAATTTCTCCTGTACCAAACACACCCGAAGGGTAATCGATTACCATTTTTGGGTAATCAATTACCAACCTGTTGAAAGGTTGGATTTCACCCTAAAATGATTTTCTCTTGATTCAAATCAGTTTCAAATATTGTTTAAACATTTTATGAACATTAAAAACTATATTTTTATGCTAGGAATGTATTTGAATGTCAAACGATGACTTAATGCATGTATTTGAATAATACTTTGAGCTTCCTTCATGTAAGGAATCAATTACCTTTTCAAATGATCATAAGTCCTATACTATATTACTTGGAGATTGCTTGGACTTAGAGACTTCGCTTGAAGCTTGAGTCTTGATCTTGTTTAGACTTCTTTTTTATGGTTGCACCTTGAAGCTTTCTTTCCATGCTTGTTTGTTATCATCAAAATCGTTGAACCTTTATATTTTTTACGTAGAGTGCATTGGTTCCACACAGATAACTTATCTGCAGTAACTGCAGAAAAACAAACCCAAATATAAATTGCTTTAACTTTTATAAAAAGCACTTTTAAAATAAGGAAGTGATAAAAGTTACTTTTTCTTTAAGGTGAAACATACGCGCTCTAAGTATATTTGCTAGAATGGTCATGCTTAATGTGGTTTCTTCTATGTGTACTCAAGACGTGCATAGTATTTTTGGCCCTGTCAAATAATGAGTAGCAATCTCCAACAACAAGCATTAACCATCGTCTAAAGAAGTTAAGAAACAATATCTCACCCGCTTCAAATATGAGTGTATTCTCTTATGTTAAAATTTCACATAACCTGGTCATATGAAATTTTTGTATCTATATCTTTTTTTCATTAATAATAAGTAAATCTCCTCTATTTAATGCATGTAAAAAAATGATAGATATAAAAATTTTACATAATTAAATTATATAAAATTTTAATGTGAGAAGATCCATTCGTATATAAGTGCAAAGACACACAAAAGGTCTTACCTAATTTAATATATCTTAAATTTGGACTTTCCACAGGGCATTGATGTTGTCAAACACCGTCAATAGTGTGGCGCATTAATCACGTATAAAGTAAATTAGCGAGTGAATTTAGGCCACGTGTCTGATCAAGGGAAAAGTATAATTAAGAAAATGAGAAGAGTGATAAGGTATCGAATTTAGGGAGACATATCTCGTTAGTTGAAGAAGAAGAAGAATTCTTATCTATACACTCTTTACAACTTTAGTGAAGACTGGAGATATCTATAACCCAGAACAATAGCAATAGATAATATTATACTAATTAGAGGACATTTGGATCTTAACTTTTTGAAAGAAATAAAATTTTGAACCCAATTGTAGACGAGAAGAAAAAAGTGGCATGGGAATACTTTTCTGGGTCATGATGTTAAAAAAGAATATGGTGTACCGCACACCCAAAAAGCTTAAAGTGAAAATAGAGATGCGTGAATCAGCCAAAATTATTGGTACCATTTCTAATGGAATGGAGGTTGTGTCGAATTCGAAAAAGGCAAGGCAAACAAATGAGGCCAGCAAGAGTGAAGCCGCTGTAGCGTTGTTGGCTGTCCTCCAAGCACTACGTTCCCTTCATTTTGTTTTTTTCTAATAACAAAATGGGATAAGATATTGTGACACCCAAGTTATGTTACACCCATGTGACACCCAGATCGCTTATGTTGATTCAACGGTTATATTTATTTTCATCTTTGTATGGTCATGATTTCCCAAATTTAAAGTGAAAGCATTAAATATGGGAAATCATAACCATACAAAGGTAGAAATAAATATAAATCATGACCATACAAAGATGGAAATAAATATAACCGTTGGATCAACATAAGCGATCTAACGGTGAAATTGACTGGGTGTCACATGAGTGTAACATAACTTGGATGTCACAATATCCTATGTCTTCTATATACATGGTGCTATTGCGTAACTTTCCCACGGCAACTTAATCTATCTTATTATTTCTCTTTCATTAGTCATCCTTGCTTTTTCTATGATAATAATAACGTATAACATCATAATGTTGACGACGTAAGAAATTAATTGCCCCAATACATAATAATACATAATAATACATAAAAATATTGTTGATTGCTTGGAGTTGAGGAAGAAATCAACCCCCCCTATATAATCTGTAATTTATTTATTTTTTAAATAAATTTATATAACATAAGTTTTTTTAACTGGTTTTTTTATATTTTTTTAAAAAATTTAAATAAAACCTTTATAATTTAACTAAGTTTTTAGTTGGACCCCAACTCGTAATGAAGTCTTATAATTAAGTTCCTGAAACAGTGAAACATATAATAGGGAAACAGAACAGTATGAATATAATCATATTAAACATCAATGTACAGAACTTAAATGATATTTAATTAATAAGATCCTACTCAACCATCTATGAATCATATTAAAAAATTGTTATAAGAATCTATTTAAAATTTTAGTTAAATTATAAAGAAGCAATTTAATCTAATCATACTAAATTGATTATTTCAAGAAGAGAGTTGAATTGCAAGGGCGTCCATGACAACCATATGAGAATCAATTTTTTTTTTTAATTTTTTGTTCTTGAGAATAGAAATCGATAGAAATAATATTTGGTAAAATTGGTTTATTTTTTATTTTTGGGATAAAATGATTTAATTTTTGTGTTGAGAAAAAAAAAAAAAAATTTTGCTTCCCCGTGGCACGACAAAAAAAGAGAATCATTTTTCTTTCTTTTTTTATTCGCCACTTCAACCCTTTCTCTCAAAAAAATAAAAATAAAACCATGTATTTTGCTCCTTCCTCCTTTGACGCTTCTGCTTTAAAGTTTTTTTTTTCTCTTTTACTCTCTCCCCCTCTTTTCTTCTTCGCTTTTTTTTCTTCTAACATTCTTCTCCTTCCTTCTTCATTATTCTCTTATGTCCTATTGTTGCAACTTCTTTGTTTCGTTGTTCTCTATTTCGTTCATCTCCAATGTTGTTGTTATTTCTCGCTTTACTTCATTTTTCTACTATAATTCTAGGTAAATTTACTCTCTAATTCAATTTTTATTTGATTAATTTTGATTTTTTGTTTTGGGATTTTTGGCGAGGGTCTATTTAATCTTTGTTTTTGTTTTGATTTTTTTAATTCTTATGTTGGATTGGGTTTAGGGTTAATTTGAATTGAGTTTACGGTTATGGATAGAGGTGGCAAAGTGGGCGCCCCCCGCCCCACCCCGCCAAAAAATGAGTCAGCCAACCTCGCCCCGCTTTTGAAAGTGGGCTGAAAAACTCAGCCCGCCCCGCCCCATTTGGCGGGTTGGGCGGGTTGACCCGCCAGCCTGAGCCTATTTTACACTGACCCGCCTATGCCCGCCATCAACCCGTCAAAAAATGAGCCCGCCCCGCTTTTGAGATGAGTTGAAAAACTCAGTCCGCCCCGTCCCGTTTGGCGGGTTGGGCCACCGAGCCGAGCCCGTTTTGCCGGCTCTAGTTATGGATGCTATAGTGGTAAGAAAGCATGAAAAAGAATTAAAGATGAATTTACAAAACAAATAAGGTTTGATTAAACTGAATTCTAATTTTAAAAATAAATATATATATATATTAACAAATAATATTACGATTCTCGGAATAAAAATAAAAGGGTTCGCTTTTTCTGCAGTTACTGCAGATAACTTATCTGCAGTAAGTCAATACGACGTCGTTTTGGGACGAAAATAATGGTATTTTTGTAATTTTAATTTATTTCAGGGTTATAATAGTATTTATATTTATAATTTTTTAAGATTTCAATACCAAAACGACGTCGTTTTGAGAATAAATACAGATAAGTTATCTGCATCAACTGCAGCAACATTTTTTCCAAAATAAAATATGTTAAAAAATATAATTTTGATTGTCATGAACCATACTGTGATTAGAGCCGACAAAACGGGCTCGGCTCGACAGACCAACCCGCCAAATGAGGCGAGGCGGGCTGAGTTTTTCAACTCATCTCAAAAGCGAAGCGGGGCGAACTCATTTTTTGACAGGTTGATGGTGGATATAGGCATACCAAGATGGATAAATGTAAAATAGACTCGGACTGGCGGACTAACTCGCCCAACCCACCAAATGGAGAAAGACAGATTGAGTTTTTCAACTCACTTTCAAAAGCAAAACAAAACAAATTGATTCATTTTTTAACGAGTTGATAAGCGGCCCGCCCACTTTCCACCTCTAACTGTGATATGTGAAAGATATGAGTAACTAAATGCTGTAGATTCCAATCTTTCCTATAATGGCGTGAACATTTGGTTGGCCAATAAGACTCACCCAAAGTGACTTCTTTTTTGGAGGCTCGATCAAAAGTATCCGAAGTTCCCAGACCAATTTGCACTTAAAAAAAAGAAAATAATAATAATAATAATAATAACAATACTGCTCCAATAATCAAAATAAGTGATGGTAATTGAAAAGGATGGGTTGACGTGAGATTTCATTTCTCGTTAATGATGAACATCACTTTCACCTCAGAATCAACGGCACAGATTCACTCCTCGGTTTTAGGCTCTTTGTTTTATCTCCCCTAAGCTTCGCTGTTATCTTCACCAAACCGTAACCTGCTCCCATCCTCCTTCAATCTTTAATACTTAGACACTTCATACCAATAGAGAAAACAGAAAGCGCTATTTGTAGTAGTAGTAGTAAAAGAAGACTAGCATATATTCCCTGGAGAACCAACAGAAGAAGAAGATGTTGTTAGGGAAGAGACCTCGTCCTCCAATTAAGAGAACCACAAGCATGTCAGAGATAACCTTCGATCTGAACACAACCACTGATGATGATTCCAACAATCCCTTGAACCGGCAGGGAACAGGAGGAGTTGTGGTTGGTTCACCTGGTGGGTTAAATGGTTTAGATCAGAACAGGATTTTGGCCACAGTTTCACCCAGAAACCATAGAAGGCATTCCGCTGATCTGACACAAACCCCTGACTTCTTGCGTGCTTGCTTTCTCTGCAAACGTTGTTTGGTACCTGGCCGTGACATCTACATGTACAGGTACTCACTTTCATTAATATTTTTCTTAATTCTATCAAAAACTTTAATTCGTGTCACCCTTAATTGTTTCTCTCTCGCTCTCTACCAAGTCACTGTTTCAGATGGTAAAGACATCTCGTGTTGCAATTTCACCTGTCAACATAATATTGTTCTTTAATTTGTCTTAATAATAACGTGGTTCAGTATTCCATTCGGTGCCCATCGATGTAGTATTATTGTCTTGCACTATATATATGTATATATATTAAATTGTGTTATATAATTTTGTTTGTTGATATTGAAAACAAGTAACTAAGCTATATATACTTTTAAAAAAAAAAAAAAAAAAATCAAATTATTCGAAGGCTTTAGTATTAATTGAAAATATAAAAAATTGAAATTGCAGAGGTGATAGTGCTTTCTGCAGTCTAGAATGCCGTCAACAGCAGATGAAGCAGGATGAGAGAAAGGCTAAGTGTTGTGTGGCATCAAAGAAACAAGTTGTGGCTCCGCCTTCTGGATCTCAAGTCACCACCAAAGGCGAAACCGTGGTTGCTTTGTAGTCTTAACATCCCATCAAGGATTGATGTATTATAAATTATTCCTATTGTCTAGCTATGCCCATGCCAGTGCCCTTTCGTACCTTAGTCATCAAATATGTTTATATATCTTCCTCTCTCGCTCTCTCTCTTTCTGTGATCTTTTTTTCCTTTTGTTCTTGCTTTGTAATTTTCATCATGTCCCTTTTTTGGAGAGTGGTGCTTTGCTTGTAAATGGGCATCATGGACAAGTACTTTTCAAGTACGCTGTTGCAATTTCCATGGGATTTTGAATGGGAATACATAAAAAGAGAAACAAAAAAATGTATTAGTAATGGGGAAAATTGCATTCACGTACTTACTCTTTCACATCGTATTGTGTCTCGATGGTGGACTTGTTCATTGTTTGTAAACCCCGTATATGACGTGGGACTTGGAAATTTGAGGATGGTGATGTTATTTGGAAGTTTTATGGCGTCACTACTCCATTATTCTCCATCCCCTTTTCTCCCGGGATAAGATGTTAAAAACGAAATATATTTAATGGAAAAGGAAGTTGTATTTACCCTATCAAAAATCCTAAATTTTGGTATTAAAGTTCTCCTATTTTAAATTGTTCTTGATCAATTATGAATCCACATGGCATGCTTTAGCCGTCTAATATTTCTGCTGTTTATACTTTATATTAGTACATGTCATAACAGTAATGTGGATACTAATTAAGCCTATTCGTTTCATGTAGTTTAATTGGAAATTTTTTGTAATAAAGCTACTCAAAAAAAAGTTTTTTTAATTAATGGTTTATAATTTGGTGTTGAAAAAAGGTCATAGATTAAGTGCAGTTATAGCAGCGTAGTTATATATTTTTATTTCATGACCTTAATTTTGAGGCGAGTTCACAATTCCGAATGGAAAAGAAACATGCACAAGTCAAATCTTCTTCTTTTCTAATTTGTTCATTATACTCATATCACCACTTAAAATCCTAAAGTTTTTTTTTTTTTATTTCCCACTTTACCTGCACACAATTTGTTTAAAAGAATGATTTCACAAATCTTGGCTTATTGCATTTTAACCAGTGGTTTATGGTTGTGGAAAAAGATGCAATAGGAGGGAATCTATGGCTTAGTCAGCTTCGCATGAAGTAGGTCCCACTTTGCACAAATAATAACAGCGATGGAAAACCTATTCATGTTGGAGCTTTCAGGGGAGAGAGAGAGAAACAGGGAAAATTTCTTAGGTACAATGGATATATTTATTTGGATACTTTTTTTTTAAGTGGAAAAAAATTCGCTTTAAATCCAGTTTTTAACTTAGATTTTTTTTTTATTGGAAATTTTTTAACTTAGATTTTTATCTAAGTAACAAAACTTTTTTTTTTTGAGTAAAATATATCTACATCACCCAAAATTTGTTCAGCGAGAGAAAAAGAAGACGGTAAAGAGCCCAGTTTTCCTTTTTTTTTTTTTTTTTTTTTTTTTGATAACAAGAGCCCAATTTTCCTTTAATTTGCCCAAAGGAAAACAAAACGAACCACTTCTTGTAAGGACGGGAGTCACCTTAGCCTAAATAGATGCGGTGGTAAGGGGGGAAATTTAATATACTACGATTGTATTAAGGGGGTGTTTGGTTCAAGTTTTTGGAGAGGATTACCGGTAATCCTTCTTTGGTAAATGTAATTACCACGTTTGGTAGAAGGAATAAATTACGATTCCCGGATATCCAAGGATTACCGGTAATTTGATTTATAAAGAAAAGTCACTATTCAGATTACCAAAAATAATATGGTAATTCGGAATACCAATCAGAATACCAAGTAAAGGGAAAGCACAACAATAAATTTTGAGACAAAAATACCCCAATACACATAAAAATCTAGACCAAATCTATCAATTACAAAAGTAAAAATAGTTTGGGGTTATTTTTGTAAAATAACCTCATATTCCAAGTCATATTTCGTTCTAAACCAAATATGGAATCAGTAATTTTTACCCAGTATTCCCGGTAATATTTTGGCGAACCAAACACATCTTTCGTAAGATTCCAAGTAAACTCAATTTCTACTGAATTCCCATTAATCATGATTCCCGGTCACCAAAAAATTTCTCTTGTACCAAACACACCCTAAGGGTTTAGTGAGACAATTATATTTAGGGCTAGGCTTGTGCATGGGTCGGGTTGAGTTTTTGTTCTGACTCGATTTGATTTTATAGGTCAGGTATTTTGACCCGATCTGATTTAATTTGATCTAAGACAGGTCTGACCCGCTTCGAATTTTTTTAAACTGGTTCAGAACTGGGTCAGATGCGACCTGATTTGGTTTCTGAAATGAGTCTGACTTGATTTTAAAATCAGGTAAAATTTAACCTGAACCATTTTTGACTTGGTTTCAAAACTTGTCTGTGATCTGATTTTTTTTATAGTTATTGATTTAATTTCTAAACTCATGTAATTTAATTATTTATTTGTTTTAAAAAATATAAATTACATAATAAATTTGATATTTGTTGCATAAATAAAGGAATGTAATTTTAAGCCCCTGCACATGTGAACAGTGGAGGATCCAGGAAATTAATGAAGGGTGGGCACTCAATAAGGTCTGGTCTAAAATGCGACTTGCGAGCAGCTGCCAGCTGGCTGAGTCTGGTTTAGATCTAGATATGTACGGATTGCGACTCAACTGGACCGATGATGGAGGAAGAAGCAAATGTTCCAACTTTCAATAATGGAGATTGAGGTTTGAGAGGAGATGAATCAATATGTAGATGCAAACAATGGGTGTCGAATAAAGCTCTCTGCTGTTAGGTTTGGATAATGAAGATGGAGGAGAAAAAAAACTCACGGGGAAATAAAATAGAATGAGAAAAATTAAAGCTCGTAACAACCAATTAGGGTTACTACCAATCAATTTCACCGTTAGATCGATTATGTTGATCCAACGGTTATATTTATTTCTATCTTTGTATGATTATGATCCCCATATTTAATGTAAAAGTATTAAATATGAAAAATCATAACCATACAAAGGTAGAAATAAATATAAAGTATTAAATATGAGAAATCATAACCATACAAAGATGAAAATAAATATAACCGTTGGATCAACATAATAAATCTAACGGTGAAATTGATTGGGATGAAAATAAATATAACCATTAAATCAACATAATCAATCTAACGGTGAAATTGATTGGTAGTAACATTGATAGTAACCCTAATTAGTTGTTACAATATCCTACTCCGAAATTAAATTGGAAAAACTTTAAATTTTTTTTTTTTTGTAAATAAAAACTTTAAATTTTAAGAGAAGAGTATTTTTGTATTTTTTCATCATAATTTAAGGGTGGGCACTTGCCCCCTTCTCTTCAACCTACATCCGCCTCTGCATGTGAAGTAAAATTAGTGAAAATTAATGAAAGGTAAAAGATGAGAGAACATTTTTCCCATCTTAAGATGACAAATCACTAATTTTAACAATACTAAAAAAGATCATATCTTTTATGAAATTTCTACGTTGCAAACGACGAAAATTTCGTCATAAATTTTTTTTTTGACCGAATACTTTCTGTCGAAAAGCGACAGAAATTTTTCTCTAATGAATATTTTTACAAAAATAAATTTTCTATCAAAATTTACGACCAAATTTAGTTTCCGTCAAAAGTTTTGACGAAAATGATTTCTTCCATCAAATGTTTTAAACGAAAAAAAGAATTTCGTCAAAAATTTTGACAGAATGTTTTTCGTTCAAAATTGTGTTGGGAATGTGTTCTGACGAAAATTGTTTTGAGGAAAATGTTTCATTCGAAACTTTCGACGAAATTTAGATTCTCTGAAGAATTTTGACAGAATATTTTTTCTGTCAAAATTTTTTTGACAAAAATGTGTTCCGTTGAAAATGTATTTCACTAAAAATTTTGACGAATTTTTTTTTGTCAAAAAGTTTAACGAAAATGTTTCTGTCGATAAATTTTGCCGAAATTTGAATTCTGTAAAGAATTTTGATTAAATTTTTTTCCGTCAAAAAATTTCGATGGAAATGTGTTTCGTCGAAATTTTTGATTAATATGTTTTTTTGTGAAATAATTTGACGAAATTTAGATTCCGTAAAAAAATTTTACAAAATTTATTTTCCGTCAAATACTTTTACAAAAATGTTTTTAGTCACAAATTTCGATGAAAATATTTTTCGTCAAATATTTTTGCGAAAGTTTTTTATGGGAATATTTTCCATAAAATTTTTGACGTAATTGTTTTACGTTAAAACTTTTCTTTTAATGTAATTGTGATTTTCTTTTTCTTTTCTTTTTTCACATAATGGGTGTGGGTCAATGGGTCATTATTGAAACAAGTCAGGTCTAAAACTGACCCAAGTAAATGTGGGTCAGTATTTACACCAGTTAACAAAAATTAGGTATTTATTGGTCTGTCAAGGACAAGGTAAGTGGACCAGTTTTTTTGCACACCCCTATTTAAGACTTAGTATTTGTCATTTTAAATGACATAAGTTATGTCATTTTAGGAGAGAGATAGATACAAAAAATAGAAATCATGGGAGAGAGAAAGTGGGTGATTTTTTTTAATTTAAAATTTAAATAAAAAATTATTCTGTGTCTATCTCTCTTTTAAAATGACATAACTATATGTTATTTAAAATGACAAACTCTTTTTCCTTATATTTATGATATATATTCTCGAGAATATATAATGTAAATATTAAATTTATTTTTTTCTGAAATATTATCAATTAATATGGAGAGAGAATTTTTTTTTAATATTTACACTATATATTTCTGAAAATATATAATGCAAATATGATTGTCGCATTGAATATTTAGTGTGACGGTGGTATAAAAAATGTTCTCGCTCTAAAGGTGTCCTCTAGTTCGGGACCACTCCAAATTATCACTGCAAGTAATAATTATTTATTTATAATTTTTTCTTCAAAAAATCATATAAATTATTTAAATAGAATTTTAGAGTCATAAACAAAATTATATATTTTTAATATTATAAATTAATTAAGTTTCAAGTTCATGTGATTTTTATTTTTGGTTTTATTTTCAATTTAATTGCAATCTTTAAGTTAATTAATTTATTTAACATTCATTCTTGCCTTGTGAAGTTGTGATAAACCTAAATCTTAATTATTGTGTTAAATAATAGTGTGTCTAACTGTTATTGTATAACAGTTTTAGATTCAAAAAATTTCAAAGAGTGGCGAGGGAGAGGGGGACTAGGAAACAATCACATTTATTCAAATCTTAAAACTCTTTAGATTTGAGTATTATTTCTGATCTTATAATAATAAACCTTTAATTGTTAACATTATTTTTTTATCATATAAATAATTATAACTTCAAAAAAAAAACATATGTTATAATTTTGTCTCTCTTAACAAAAAATTACAGCTTCGCTATTTATCGTCATTTAATAAAATAATATGGATGCAGTTTACTGTAAATACATCGAGGAAAAATTGTGAATTACGAAATTAAAAAATTGAAGATTAAAACAAAATAAATACGCGAGACCTATGTTATAAAACAGA